AGAATTTGATCATAATTACAAGATAGACAGTTTAATGGACACTAATTAAATTATTAGTTATCAAAATACATTCCATCAACAATTTTTAAACATTCCCCTTATTGATTTACTTAAATACAATAAATGCTATTTAAAGAACATTCTCCATTTAAAATGAAATGATTAGGTTTACATTTTACATAAATAGATTATCCTAAATGAAGATATTTATATTTAAAACAATTTGTTGGATCAAGTTCAATGGTACAAAAATCTAGCAAACCAGGTTAAAGTATTAATAATCCATTCTCATTAATTATGTACAAGTCATGATCTATTAAATTTCTCTCTTTATAATAAAAAGCATCATCTGAATGTAGTTTTTTTGTTATTAGATCAGCAGTACATATTGGTTTTAAATATTGATGGTTTAAGTATTAAAATTAAATTAAAAAATTTTTAATTTTATATAAAATAAATCTAATAATAGAACAAATACCACTATAAATAATATCTTTAATTCAAATAGTTTGGTAAAATAAAATCTCCTTATTGACACTAAAAAAAGCTTTGATCTTAGATTTCTGTGAGTTAAACAGTTTAAAACATTTATAAGAATTGAATACAAACTACTAATCCATCTGGATCAATGAATCCATATTTACATTAACATTTATTTTATTCTTATAAATAATTTCTATTTGAAGTAGAAGAACAAGTCAAACAATGATAATCAAGTGGTCCCTTACAAGTAAGACAAGAATAATGACAAACTATATATGATTAAATAATTACCATTCAATAACATTATTTTATCTTAATCATAATTAAATTCAAATTTAAGATCTTTAATTTAAGCATCAAGTTATAATTTTGTAAAATCATCTCCCCCTATGAAAAAATAAAACATTGTGTCTGTAGGACCTGACCAATTAATTTGATTTTTTAAAAGACCTAATTCATTAAAGAATTAGATCTAAACTAATTATCCTCTATTTGCAATTTGGGATCCTTATTCTAATTAAAAAAAATGCCATTATTGTAATCCACCACAATATTAATTTTCTTTATTATTCTTAGACCAATAATAATCATATTAATCATCATAGAATCCATCACTATATTCAACATTACCGTAGAAATTAATTCACCCCAAGTAGGTACATAATATAAATCTCTGTTCATTAACAATTTACAATATCCTCTTTAAGTTATTGAAGCAAGCATTTCTAATTTAAATATCTCATCACCCATATTTAATCCTTTATTATAAAACTTATTAGAGGATATTCTAAAAACTAAATATTAAGATGTATCAACAATTTTAGAAAAATCATACTTTATCCAACCAGAAAAACAATATCGATTACCTATTTGTTAAATTGTTGAAGTTAATAATGTATCTCCATAAAATATTTTTAATCCTTTTATTAAATTAAATTTCTACTCTTATTCAACCTAGTTTGGAATTTAACAAAATTAAAACATATAATCATATATGTTTTAATTCAAAGAGTTTGATCTCTTAATAAAAAGCTTCGATAATCTTCCATTAAAAACATTTAGATTAAATTTATCTTCAATCTTTTGAAATTAAATAAATAATTACCAATCCTCTTCCTCCTACATAAATTTATATTTTTTTTAACTCTAAAACAAATGCTTAATTAATCTATTCCTAATTTGAATTAATAATAAATTCTTTATTTATAAAATTATAAGTAATGGTTGTTAATATCCAATTTGCTATATATCTTTATATGGGAAAACTAAATTTCTTAGATTCTTCAGGGGTTTATAAAAAAACAATATTTAAATATACAAGTTTTACTTTTTTATCTGCTGATACATATCCAAGAACTAAATTCTTTAAGTCACTTTGTAATAAAAATAAAAGCAGCCCATTTTATGTAATTTATGGATTATATTCCTTTTCAACTGAAACCAATATTTTTGGAGACAATGAAGGAATGCTATAACTCCATAGACCAAAACCTATTGAATCACCATCATCATTTTGAGAAAATGGATTAATATGATATAAATTTGTTGAAGTATTTATATCAAGCAAAGCATCCTCATACGAACTTAATGGGCAACCATTTGTGCTGTAAACAATCTAATTAAAAAAGAATATAGCAATCATTGTCCTAAACAAATCCAAGAATGAAAACATTTTGATTTTGAAGTTTTCTA